AAGTTCACCACAACTTGTTCAGGATGTCGTAAGTTCACCACAACTTGTTCAGGATGTCGTAAGTTCACCCCAACTTGTTCAGGATGTCGTAAGTTCACCCCCAACTTGTTCAGGATGTCGTAAGTTCACCCCAACTTGTTTAGGATGTCGTAAGTTCACCCCAACTTGTTCAGGATGTCGTAAGTTCACTCCCAACTTGTTCAGGATGTCGTAAGTTCACCCCCAACTTGTTCAGGATGTCGTAAGTTCACCACAACTTGTTCAGAATGTCGTAAGTTCACCCCCAAACTTGTTCAGGATGTCGTAAGTTCACCACAACTTGTTCAGGATGTCGTAAGTTTACCACAACTGTTCAGGATGTCGTAAGTTCACCACAACTTGTTCAGGATGTCGTAAGTTCACCACAACTTGTTCAGAATGTCGTAAGTTCACCACAACTTGTTCAGGATGTCGTAAGTTCACCACAACTTGTTCAGGATGTCGTAAGTTCACCACAACTTGTTCAGGATGTCGTAAGTTCACCACAACTTGTTCAGGATGTCGTAAGTTCACCACAACTTGTTCAGGATGTCGTAAGTTCACCACAACTTGTTCAGGATGTCGTAAGTTCACCACAACTTGTTCAGGATGTCGTAAGTTTACCACAACTTGTTCAGGATGTCGTAAGTTCACCACAACTTGTTCAGGATGTCGTAAGTTCACCACAACTTGTTCAGGATGTCGTAAGTTCACCCCCAACTTGTTCAGGATGTCGTAAGTTCACCACAACTTGTTCAGGATGTCGTAAGTTTACCACAACTTGTTCAGGATGTCGTAAGTTCACCACAACTTGTTCAGGATGTCGTAAGTTCACCACAACTTGTTCAGGATGTCGTAAGTTCACCCCAAATTGGTGTCCATTCTGTGATGTAGTGACCCAAAGTGAACAGCATATTCCAAGCGACGAGTCAATACAGTGCTAAAATTATAGTGCACGAATTCAGTTTGGTTCTGTAATTTACCTGTGTTTGGTTTTGAGAGTTTTTCTCTGATATCCAGATCCAACCCACACACCTGAAACCCCCAACCCACACACCTGAAAACCCCAATCCACACACCTGAAAACCCCAATCCACACACCTGAAACCCGAACCCACACACCTGAAACCCCCAACCCACACACCTGAAAACCCCCAACCCACACACCTGAAACCCCCAACCCACACACCTGAAACCCCCAACCCACACACCTGAAACCCCCAACCCACACACCTGAAACCCCCCACCAACACACCTGAAACCCCCAACCCACACACCTGAAAACCCCCCAACCCACACACCTGAAACCCCTAACCAACACACCTGAAACCCCCCAACCCACACACCTGAAACCCCCAACCCACACACCTGAAACCCCCCAACCCACACACCTGAAACCCCCCCAACCCACACACCTGAAACCCCCAACCCACACACCTGAAACCAGCAACCCACACACCTGAAACCCCCAACCCACACACCTGAAACCCCCACACACCTGAAACCCCAACCCACACACCTGAAACCCCCCAACCCACACACCTGAAACCCCAACCCACACACCTGAAACCCCCCAACCCACACACCTGAAACCCCCAACCCACACACCTGAAACCACAACGAACACGTCCAAAAGCGAAGACCCGACGACATTTCGGTCCATCGTCTTATTTCAGTCATTTCGGTCCATTTCGGTCTGTCTAAAGACGGTATTAACGAGGTTTCTGTCCTTACCAAACACTGGAGTTTACTTTTGTAGAGTATTGGTGATAGTTTACCTGTGTTTTACCTGTGTCTTGGTCTACCTTGAGTGAGGTAGTATTCTTTGGGGGTTTACTGTGTGTCTGGTTTTTTGTTTGTGTTTTTGGGGGAATTTTTTTATTTTCCTCTTTGTCTTGTTTACTTGCTCTCTCTGTCTGTCTGTCTCTCTGTCTGTCTGTCTCTCTGTCTCTCTCTCTGTCTCTCTCTCTCTCTCTCTCTCTCTCTCTCTCTCTCTCTCTCTCTCTCTCTCTCTCTCTCTCTCTCTCTCTCTCTCTCTCTCTCTCTCTCTCTCTCTCTCTCTCTCTCTCTCTCTCTCTGTCTCTCTCTCTCTGTCTCTCTGTCTCTGTCTCTCTCTGTCTCTCTGTCTCTCTGTCTGTCTGTCTGTCTGTCTCTCTCTCTCTCTCTCTCTCTCTCTCTCTCTCTCTCTCTCTCTCTCTCTCTCTCTCTCTCTCTCTCTCTCTCTCTCTCTCTCCCCATTTCTAAAATTATTTATCTGTATATTTCTTTCTATCTCTTCCCACCTCTTCTGTGTAAGCTATTTAAGTCGTGGTGAAGTTGGCTCCATCTCTTTCCCGGTGTGTGGGACGGGCACGTGTCTGTCACACTCCCATCCCACGTGCCTGGGAGGAGGAAGAGGCGGTGATCTCTCCCATACCACCATCCCAGGTGCCTGGCATACCAGTATATACACACCCCACCTGAAGAAACACATAAGGAAGCTGGAAAAGGTTCAAAGTTTACGACGAAGCTCGTCCCAGAGTTGCGAGGGATGGGATATGAAGAGCGACTGAAGGAACTGAACCTGTCGACGCCAGACAATAAAAGGGAGTGGGGAGATATGATAGGAATATATAAAATACTTTGGGGGGTTTCTAGAGTGGAAATAGACGAAATGTTCACACTGAATGCAAATATATCAAGGGGTCATGGGTGGAAGCTGGAAACTTAGAGGAGTCATAGAGATGTTAGGAAGTTTTCTTTTAGCGTGAGAGTCGTGGGAAAGTGGAATGCACTTAAGGAACAGGTTGTGGAAGCAAATACTATTCATAATTTTAAAAGTACATATAAGGAAATAGGACAGGAGTCATTGTTTTAAAAAACTCTTGACGGCTAAATGGCGATTTATTCTGTGTTCGAGTCCTAGCCTGGAGGATTGACTGGGCGCGCGATTGATTGAAGAAAACTAGCAGAGAAAGGTTTAACATGAGCTTTGGGAAGGGAATTGGTGTTCAGGGCAGGATTCATCGATCTTTTACGTCTCCATTTACGAAACCTGTACATCTTTACTTAAAAGTGGAAGCTTAGTTAACGTTTATTAATCAGTTAATGAGCTCCGAAGCACTACAAGAGGTTGTTTATAATAATAATAACCTTGGGTTGTGAAGTTTTCAAGCTGCTGTGTCTCCAGTTATTAGAGGAAGGATGTACAGGTTTCGTAATGGTACACTAGTGAAGGTTGTATTGTGATGCGCATATCGTGCATCATTTTTTTTTTTTTTTTTTTTTTTTTTTGAGATATATACAAGAGTTGTTACATTCTTGTAGAGCCACTAGTACGCGTAGCGTTTCGGGCAGGTCCCTGGAATACGATCCCCGCCGCGAAGAATCGTTGTTACAACCAAGTACACATTTTACTGTTGAGTTAAACAAAGGCTACAGTTAAGGAATTGCGCCCAGTAAATCCTCCCCGGCCAGGATACGAACCCATGACATAGCGCTCGCGGAACGCCAGGCGAGTGTCTTACCACTACACCACGGAGACTGTAAATCTCCGGAGACTGTCAATCTTATCTACCAAGACCCTGAAAGTATATCATAGTTATCCCTGAAAAAATAAACAAGGAAGTAGGACAGAAAACGCCACAACCGAGCTTGAACCTGGGCTCAGATTCACGAAGTAGTTACGCAAGCACTTACGAACCTAGCTCTGTCCATCTTTTCTCAATCTTTGACGGCTTTGTTTACAATTATTAAACAGCTAATGAGCTCGGAAGCACCAGGAGGCTGTTTATAACAATAACAACAGTTGATTGGCAAGTTTTCATGCTTGTAAACTGTTTAATAAATGTAACCAAAGCCGTCAAAGTTTGAGGAAAGATATACAGGTTCGTAAGTGCTTGCGTAACTACTTCGTGAATCTGGGCCCAAGTCTTTTGTCCAGTGTTCCTCTTCTTATGCTGAATATATCTGATATATTTTCCAATATATCTTATATTGGAAAATGTTTGCCAATACATTATTAACATAAGATTTTCTCATACACTCCAGACTGTCGCCTCCAGACTGTCGCCTCCAGCCTGGCTTCACCGACAGTGGCTGTCGACGTCACTAGACGTCAGTATGGATGCCCCCCATCCATCCACCACCATCCACCACCATCCACCACCATCCAACACCATCCACCACCATCCACCACCATCCACCACCATCCAACACCATCCACCATGCCCAGGTAAGCATCACCTTCACCTCAGGTGTCACCTATACTATCTGTATTCACACGCATGAAGGCTAAAGTGTGTGTGTGTGTGTGTGTGTGTGTGTGTGTGTGTGTGTGTGTGTGTGTGTGTGTGTGTGTGTGTGTGTGTGTGTGTGTGTGTTTACTAGTTGTGTTTACTAGTTGTGTTTTTGCGGGGGTTGAGCTTTGCTCTTTCGGCCCGCCTCTCAACTGTTAATCAACTGTTTACTAACTACTTTTTTTTTTTTTTTTCCCACACCACACACACACACCCCAGGATGCAGCCCGTGACAGCTGACTTACTCCCAGGTACCTATTTACTGCTAGGTAACAGGGGCACTTAGGGTGAAAGAAACTTTGCCCATTTGTTTCTGCCTCGTGCGGGAATCGAACCCGCGCCACAGAATTACGAGTCCTGCGCGCTATCCACCAGTCTACGAGGCCCCCAAACGAGGGTGTGTGTGTGTGTGTGTGTGTGTGTGTGTGTACTCACCTAGTTGTGCTTGCGGGGGTTGAGCTCTGGCTCTTTGGTCCCGCCTCTCAACTGTGTGTGTGTGTGAGTGTGCGTGCGTGTGTGTGTGTGTGTGTGACTAATTCGCATTTCATGTCATTCCAGGTAAGTGACTACAGCAGGGAGGACAGACATCAACTCAGACTAAGGTACGTTCCTGTTTCCCTTTTGGTTTCCCCCCCCCAAGCTGCTGTCCACACTAGTTACAAGGCGGCGCTCATGCTGAATCATCTCGTCTGGAGGAAGTCAAATTCATCTTCCCTTGGTCTTGGAGGCTGTACAGTCATCTGTCATGGTCTTGGAGGGTCTACAGTCACCTGTCGTGGTCTTGGAGGCTCTACAGTGACCTGTCATGGTCTTGGAGGCACTACAGTGACCTGTCATGGTCTTGGAGGCTCTACAGTGACCTGTCATGGTCTTGGAGGCTCTACAGTGACCTGTCATGGTCTTGGAGGCTCTGTAGTTACCTGTCATGGTCTTGGAGGCACTACAGTGCCCTGTCATGGTCTTGGAGGCACTACAGTGCCCTGTCATGGTCTTGGAGGCACTACAGTCACCTGTCATGGTCTTGGAGGCACTACAGTGACCTGTCATGGTCTTGGAGGCTCTGTAGTTACCTGTCATGGTCTTGGAGGCACTACAGTGCCCTGTCATGGTCTTGGAGGCTCTACAGTGACCTGTCATGGTCTTGGAGGCTCTACAGTTACAGGTCATGGTCTTGGAGGCTGTACAGTTACCTGTCATGGTCTTGGAGACCCTACAGTCACCTGTCATGGTCTTGGAGGCTCTACAGTTACCTGTCATGGTCTTGGAGGCTCTACAGTGACCTGTCATGGTCTTGGAGGCTCTACAGTTACCTGTCATGGTCTTGGAGGCTGTACAGTTACCTGTCATGGTCTTGGAGGTTCTACAGTCACCTGTCATGGTCTTGGAGGCACTACAGTGCCCTGTCATGGTCTTGGAGGCTCTACAGTGACCTGTCATGGTCTTGGAGGCTCTACAGTTACCTGTCATGGTCTTGGAGGCTGTACAGTTACCTGTCATGGTCTTGGAGACCCTACAGTCATCTGTCATGGTCTTGGAGGCTGTACAGTCATCTGTCATGGTCTTGGAGGGTCTACAGTCACCTGTCGTGGTCTTGGAGGCTCTACAGTTACCTGTCGTGGTCTTGGAGGCTCTACAGTGACCTGTCATGGTCTTGGAGGCTCTACAGTTACCTGTCATGGTCTTGGAGGCTGTACAGTTACCTGTCATGGTCTTGGAGACCCTACAGTCATCTGTCATGGTCTTGGAGGCTGTACAGTCACCTGTCATGGTCTTGGAGGCACTACAGTCACCTGTCATGGTCTTGGAGGCACTACTGTCACCTGTCACGGTCTTGGAGGTTCTACAGTCACCTGTCATGGTCTTGGAGGCACTACTGTCACCTGTCACGGTCTTGGAGGTTCTACAGTCACCCGTCTTGGTCTTGGAGTAAGTATAGAGTCCAGGAAAAATCCTGGGTAAATACTGGTTTGGAAATAAGGTTCTTGATGTTTTTTTTTTAATAAATTACCGGTTAAAAAGTGTGGGATTGTCTGGCATTGGTTAGAAATATATATATATATATATATATATATATATATATATATATATATATATATATATATATATATATATATATATATATATATGTATATATATATAATGAGTATATATGTATGTAACACATGCCGCGGCGAGATGGGGCTTTTCCCACCTATGTAAACTCCAAACAATAACAGTCTGTTGTTAATATTTCCCTCTCTGTTTATCGGCTCTCATTCAGTTACTTTTCAACTGTTTTTGCCCGACCAGAAACGTACGCACCCAAACAACCCACTTAACCTATCGAGGCCGATGCATAGAAAACGTCAGAATTTCGGGTGCTTTAATTTTGACAAATAAGTTGTATTTTTAGTGAGTTGTTGAAGTGCGTAGAACAAGGCGCACTAGGAGAGAGGCGCGGCTTGGTGCCTGCACCCTCTCTGAGACCCAGGGAGCCAGATTCACGAAGCAGTTACGCAAGCACTTACGAACCTGTATATCTTTTCTGAATCTTTGGCGGCTTTGTTTACAATTATTAAACAGTTAATGAGCTCCGAAGCACCAGGAGGCTGTTTATAACAATAACAACAGTTGAATGGGATGTTTTCATGCTTGTAAACTGTTTAATAAATGTAACTAAAGCCGTCAAACATTGAGGAAAGATGTACACGTTCGTAAGTGCTTGCGTAAGTGTTTTCGTGAATCTGGCCCCAGCCTGTGGAGGTCTGCTCCAAAGGAATACACTTCTAGCCTAGCCTAGCCTAGCCTAGTGTAGTCTAGCCTAGTGTAGTCTACTGTAGCCTATCCTAATCTATCCCAGCCTAATTTATTTTACCGCGTAACGTGGTGGAGGTGGGTTCCCTCGATTGTTTCAAGCGTGGGTTGGACATGTATATGAGTGGGATTGGGTGGTTATAGATAGGAGCTGCCTCGTATGGGCCAATAGGCCTTCTGCAGTTACCTTTGTTCTTATGTTCTAACGAAAATAAGCGATAAAATGATATGTTTTATATATGACGTGACCCGTCATCACGGCGCTATGAAAACAAACTTTACACCATACTGTTACACTTGAGAATGATGTCATTAGGCCATTTAAACCCAGAGAAAGTTTCCCACGAGCAAACAGCTATTGGTGGGCACATGACCTGTGCGGACTGTGCACCAGGGCTCTGGGGACATTAGGGCCATAGCACAGAGTATGGCCCCACTTAATGCACCATCACTTCCAGCAAGGAGGTAGACGCATTAATGTCTATATAGGCTGCAGTGGCCACTCGTCCCAATACACTGCCCATAGGGCCAGTAATGTACACGAACATAGGGGACCATAGACGGGAAAGTGACTACCCAAATGAGCAACCGAGACATTAGAAATATTTTGTTTCAGTGCCAGTGAAGTAAGGAAGTTAAATGCGGTTTAGATACGGTGGAAGCAGGTTCCATAGACAGACGATGAGTCACAATAACGTGGCTAAAATATGTTGACCAGACCACACACTAGAAGGTGAAGGGACGACGACGACGTTTCGGTCCGTCCTGGACCATTCTCAAGTCGATGCCAAGTCATTCTCAAGGTCCATACACTGCTTTAAATGCACATATGGCAAGCCCAAAAAAACTCTAGAATCCATGAACCAGTTTTATTATAGGTTGAGAGGCGGGAACCAAGAGCCATAACTCATCCCCTGCAAATACAGGAGAGCATGTAATAAGTTCAAGAAGAAACGTGACCCAAATACAGTATAGGGAATATGTAGGAGTCACAGGGAGGCTCGCTAAGTGAAGCTTCAGTATTCCTCGCCTGGAGGTGACTACTGAGGCAACGAGTGGTGATGCATAAGACACACAGGCTTATATACACGCCTCAAACTGACTTGAGATGCTGCCTACATTCCTGAGCAACTGTTGAGACACACGTGTTAGACATAGTGTTGACACACACGTGTTAGACATAGTGTTGAGACACACACGTGTTAGACATAGTGTTGATACACACGTGTTAGACATAGTGTTGAGACACACGTGTTAGACATAGTGTTGATACACACGTGTTAGACATAGTGTTGAGACACACGTGTTAGACATAGTGTTGATACACACGTGTTAGACATAGTGTTGAGACACACGTGTTAGACATAGTGTTGATACACACGTGTTAGACATAGTGTTGATACACACGTGTTAGACATAGTGTTGATACACACGTGTTAGACATAGTGTTGATACACACGTCTTAGACATAGTGTTGATACACACGTGTTAGACATAGTGTTGAGACACACGTCTTAGACATAGTGTTGAGACACACGTGTTAGACATAGTGTTGACACACACACGTGTTAGACATAGTGTTGATACACACGTGTTAGACATAGTGTTGAGACACACGTGTTAGACATAGTGTTGATACACACGTGTTAGACATAGTGTTGATACACACGTGTTAGACATAGTGTTGAGACACACGTGTTAGACATAGTGTTGATACACACGTGTTAGACATAGTGTTGATACACACGTGTTAGACATAGTGTTGATACACACGTGTTAGACATAGTGTTGAGACACACGTGTTAGACATAGTGTTGACACACACGTGTTAGACATAGTGTTGAGACACACGTGTTAGACATAGTGTTGAGACACACGTGTTAGACATAGTGTTGACACACACGTGTTAGACATAGTGTTGAGACACACGTGTTAGACATAGTGTTGAGACACACGTGTTAGACATAGTGTTGAGACACACGTGTTAGACATAGTGTTGACACACACGTGTTAGACATAGTGTTGACACACACGTGTTAGACATAGTGTTGACACACACGTGTTAGACATAGTGTTGAGACACACGTGTTAGACATAGTGTTGAGACACACACGTGTTAGACATAGTGTTGAGACACACACGTCTTAGACATAGTGTTGAGACACACACGTGTTAGACATAGGAGCTGCCTTGTATTGCCAAAAGCTGCTTCCTTCAGTCAGAAACTGCATCTCATAAGCCAACAGCCCTTCAGTTGTTTTCCTAAATCTTATTTTTTGTTTATGTTCAGCATGGCTAAGACAGCATCATGGCAACAAGCGTATTCTTAGAGGAGACAATATCTGCTCCTTCCTTCAAGGCGATAAAGATCGTTTACTTGGAGGCCATAGAAACTGACTGAGTGTAAGCGATAAAAATGGACTCTTGCTTTTAGGCGATAAGAGCTGATTGGCTTTGGCTGTAAGCGATAAGAATAGACTCGTCTTATAGGGTGTAAGAGGCTCACCGCGTGTGGAGGGAATAGACTCGTCTTATAGGGTGTAAGAGGCTCACCGCGTGTGGAGGGAATAGACTCGTCTTATAGGGTGTAAGAGGCTCACCGCGTGTGGAGGGAATAGACTCGTCTTATAGGGTGTAAGAGGCTCACCGCGTGTGGAGGGAATAGACTCGTCTTATAGGGTGTAAGAGGCTCACCGCGTGTGGAGGGAATAGACTCGTCTTATAGGGTGTAAGAGGCTCACCGCGTGTGGAGGGTGTTTATTGACTCAACTTGTGTCTGTGGCTCTCCACCACCGATCATCTTTAATATATAAAACACGAAACAATGGAAGATTTCTCATCCCACTCCTATTTTCCCCTGTTCCGCCTCCCTTCCTCTTTTCCCCACCCTCTCCACCATTCCTTCTTTCCTTCTCGATAACTATTGCATCCCCTCGATGCCTCCCCTCTCCTTCTTTTCCCTCTTAAAAACTTAATAATAATCTTTTTTTATTAACACACTTAGGCATTTGTGCAGCTGCCCTAGGCTATATGAAGGGGAGAACAGTGTGTCGAAAAGCTAGCTACGTGGTGCAGGCGATGAGTCACAATAACGTGGCTAAGGTATGTTGACCAGACCACACACTAGAAGTTGAAGGGACGACGACGTTTCGGTCCGTCCTGGACCATTCTCATCGACTTGAGAATGGTCCAGGACGGACCGAAACGTCGTCGTCCCTTCACCTTCTAGTGTGTGTGGTCTGGTCAACATAGCTACGTGAGGCTAAAAAATCCCCATCACACAGGATGGTTAGTCATACAGAGGCATGTGATAAGCGGTCTGCACTGGCAGACTCCGGATGCATTTTGAGGATATCATCAACACAAGATTGAATAAGGTAGCAGTGGTAATACAAGTCCCCATCTCGCAGGATGGTTAGTCATACAGAGCCATGTGTTTAATAGCCTGCACTGGCATATTTTGGGTATACTGTGAGGATATCTTCAAGAATACGAGAATGAATAAAGTAATTGCAAAGCTCCAGGTACCTCATGCCAACTGGTCTGAAAGGTCTAATAACTGGGCATTCAGTGATGTAGTGCGGGAGATCATGCCGTAGTTCCTGCTCACAGAGTTTGCAACTGGAGTGCTCAGGATTGGGAGACCCGTCACCTGCAGCCACCTGCCACAGGTAACGGTAACCCAACCTGATCCTTGCAACCACTGTGTCGCACAGTCTAGTGGACGTTTTGTGCTGTCCATAGATGTAGGTTTCAGATCTGAACAAATCATAGCTTTTTATACTAGTACTTTCAGGTCGTTGGGAGTCAGTAAGTTCTTTCCTATCAGATCTGAATGTTTGGACCAATACAGTTTTGACAGCAGAGATGGGGATACCTAGATCTAATTCAGCTTCAAACTTGTTACACGCTAATTTGGCTGCAATGTCTGTCTCATTATGATGGGTTATATTTATGTGTGAAGGTATCCATACAAAGGAGATTCGAGACCTTTGGGGGTTACTGTTATTTAACTCTACGGAAAATACAATCTCTATTTCAGACTTGACATAATGAAAATCTCA